TTTTTTTTTTTTTTTTTTTTTTTTTTTTTTTTTTTTTTATCAGATTGCTTAATTGAAAATGATGTTTTAAAAACGCTTAAATTAAAGATAATCAAAACAGGCCTTAATCAACTTCTTTAGTTTAATGAGAATCCAAAATTCCAATAACAGCATCTCCCTTAGATCGAAGCAGGTTTTTTTGTTGAACTTTTGATGACGAAAGAGAAGGAATAAAATACTTATTTGGTTATATATCTTTTCAATTATTTATTTGTAATTTTTACATTATATTTATTTATTCCCAAATTTTGAATTTAACGCAAAAAAAAAAAAATTCTTCAAATCAATCCCGACGTCACGTTGATATTTATTGTTTTTTTTGTGTTAGTCTTTGTAAGGGATCTTTTGAGTACAATGAACATAGGCATGACAAAACAACCCAATATATGTGGCTACAATAATTTATTTTTATTTCTATTTTATGAATAATTAGTTTAAAACAATTAATTAATAAATATATTCAATTTACTTTTAGAAAATAGTGTTATTAAAAAATCATTTTATAGAGAGAGAGAGATTGGGCCGTAAAGTGGAAATCTATGAGCCCATTATATCATTTGGGCTATGTTGCTGTCCAATTAGGAGATGGGCCGATAGGCCCGGAGAAATAGGATAGAGAGGTCGTCTTCCTCAATGGCCGCGCGGCAAATGACCAACCAGACAACCACCAACAGAATCTCTGCCACAGTGCAATCGTTTGTTTGTAGTTTACTCCTACGGAGTTGAAGAAAGAAGCTCTATCACGTCGCTTGGCTTCTGAAAGCGCTTTCTCTCCGCATGTCTAGCGCTGTGCAGCTCTCATTGCCTACTTGTGCGTTTGAGTCTTCGAGTTTGATTCATAGTGGAAGACTGCGAAGTCGTCGTCAGATTTTCTGTAACCAAACTGACTTTCGCGGTGGAGAAAACGATGAAAAGAACGGCGTTGATTGTGGCAGGTACGAGATTTTTCTTTTGCATTCTTCCGTTTTGTTATCTTGTAAACTGGTGGATTTCATGGATGAAAAAATGTGGAACATAGTTTGTATTTGATCTATCTTTGCTTCCTGAAATGTCTTGACGTCTTGATCAATTTCCTTCTGTACTGAGCGGAAAATGTCCGAGATGATATGTCTTGCTATCTAAGTGGCGAAAGAAAATATCAATTTAGAGGAAGCGGTTTTTTGTTACTCTGACAGTGATAATGCTACCAGTAATATTCCATCTGATTGTATTATTTTTATTTTCATCTTGTTGCAGAGGACACAGCCAGCGTCGAGTAATCTTAGTCGAGAAATACGGAAACAGCGCTGTGAAGAAGTCGGTGATATTTTCCTTAGAATGCACTTTTTGTGTATCTGTTTATCTAATTCCTAAAATTTTTTTAGTAGAGATAATATATTCACGTTCGTATTGCTATGGTTTTGTACTTCTGTTAATATCACTCTATTGAGGCAATCTATTTGTTAGATTCATTTCATGTGAATCTAACATATATGTTAACTACGCCATTAGCTTTCTGAGGATAGAGGTTCGAGTTTCTTTCAGGATAAAGCTGATAGTTGAGAGTTACTTACTGCCGGAAGAAGGGATAATAGAGATAATTAAAGATCTTGTAAACGTAATCAGCATTGTTTATATACTTTGAGAGCTGCATCGTTTTCTACTTCCAAGAGCTTCAACAAGATTTTCAATTCGGGAAATTTTGATTCCATGAACAGGTATTGTCTAGATGATAACCTACAGTTGCAAACTTTTCTTGACGAACAAACATCTTCGACATCCAAGGGGTTCGAAGGATCTCAATTTTCAGAAACAAGATTATCCTGGCTTCCAGATGTGATAAAAGATTTTATCTTACCTTCGGGATTCCCAGGTACATATAATGCGTAGATTCTTTTCCTTTCTCACTTAATAATTTCTTCGTTCAACTTTTTTGTTAATTGATGTTTCCAAGCCAGAATATTTGGTTTCTACGTTGATTCATCCAATTAGATGTATTCCGTTTTTCTAATTGGGTTATTTTCTTTTTTAACCTTTTTTGTTTCTGTATCATGTACATCAATATAGCAAAGATTAGAATTATCAGTTTGCTCAATCCCTCTGGAGTCCGTGGATGAGATTGTTTCATGTTTGTGGAGCTAGGAATAGAGTTGGTAGATCTATGATGGAGGAGGTGCTTCCAAATCATCTTTTTGGGAGAAGGGTTAAGTGTTGCTCTTGAGTTTCTTTGTCATTTTGTGGTGCATTTGGCTTGAGAGGAACAAAATAATCTTTTGAGAGATGGAGATATTGTGTAAGGAGGTGTGGGAGACGGCTAGATTTATTGCTTCTGGCGACCGTTCTGGAATTATGAGATTGATCTTGTTTTTTTTCCTTTTTTTTTTTTTTGGATTGTAGTTTCTGTAGTTATGGTTTGGACTCCGATTTGGTTGGGGCTTGGTTTTTGTATATCCTTGCATTTTCATTCATTTCTCTCCATAAAAGTACGGTTTCTTACCTAATAAAGTAATAAAATAAGAACAATAAATTTTCCTCTTTATCCGTCTCTGGATTCCCACCAATTAGAAAAGGAACTCTAAACTCTCCATCTTTTGCATTAATCTAGATATTTTAAAATCTCTTCATTTCTGTACATATTATTCAAATCAAGGCTGCAACAATACCGACCCACTAGATTTTAGTCTTCCTAGTTATATCATGTGGCCGATGAGCATTTGGGATGGGTAAATATCATTGACCTAAGAGACTATGAGCATATGATTAACAAATGTAATATCTCAAAAAAAATAAATTCTGGCAGTATTTCGTTATACCTGCTCTCTTACAATTATGTTGTTTTCATTGCAGAATCAGTGTCTGACGATTACTTGCAGTACATGATACTGCAGTTCCCCACTAATGTTACTGGATGGATCTGCCATACGTTGGTCACATCCAGTCTACTAAAGGTAGATAATTAAGAAACTAGAATTCAACTTAATTGATAAATATTGCTAAAAGTACAGTTTCATTCTATTATAGTGGTTCTCTTAGCAAGAAGGAAAAGAAAAGGTCCTTAACAGTATTTATTCCACTCTTTTATTGACTATTTGCAGGCAGTTGGTATAGGCTCCTTCTCTGGAACTACTGCAGCTGCATCTGCTGCTGCCATCAGGTTTCTAAGTTTTCCCATAACATTTCTTTTGGCATCCCCCGTGAGCAATTTGTCTTTGGACTTTGTCTATGTAATAATGGACACTTGGCACAATCTTTTGGCATGTATTTGTACCCTATGCAATCATTGGTTTATTGTTTAAAAAAAAAAATCAAACTATTGTATGCCATTATAGTCTTGTAATAGACTCTAATGTACGTTATTTTATTGACTACGCAGATGGGTCTCCAAGGATGGCATTGGAGCTGTTGGACGCTTATTCATTGGTCTGGAATCATAAAGAGATCTAAAAATATGGAAGGTTATATTGAATTTTTCAGTGAGTGTTGCCATCCTTTCCAGGTGGACGGTTTGGTAATCTTTTTGATGATGATCCAAAACAATGGCGCATGTATGCAGACTTCATTGGCAGTGGGGGAAGGTGCCATTTTCCAAGCTCTATTTGACAACGGAATTGTTGATTTACTATTAAAATTGTAAAACCTTTAATTGTAATTGCCTGTGATGCACAGCATCTTTGATCTTGCTACTCCACTGTATCCAAGCTATTTTCTACCATTGGCTTCTCTTGGAAATCTTACCAAGGTATTTTACAGTGCTAGTGGTGTTTCTGTTTTATGATTGCAAATTATGTAGAAAATCATAAAAAGACCATGTTGATAATTATGCATTTATCATTAGTTTCTTAAACTGAAGGAAACTTCTTGATGATTGGAGTTTGAAACGTCTGCCAACAGTAATAATTGGTGTCCATTCTGATTCTGAAACTATGTAGGCTGTTGCGAGAGGACTGAAAGATCCTTCATTTCGAGTTATTCAAAGCCATTTTGCAATTTCAGGAAATTTGGGAGAAATAGCAGCAAAGGTATACACTAAGCCTTTCTAATGTCTTCAT